TCTCGTTTTTACAGGTTAATTTGTTTTAAGAGGAAATGTGTGCGTTAATTGCATGGCAAGTAACCCGAGAAACGTTTGCTCACACAGCCGGACGACTAAAATTGTTCGGTCATAGCTGATTTGATGCGATTCCAGTAAATGCTACAGGACAAACTTGATTCGCGCAGTAGCAGCATCGGTTCACTGTAGACGGAGAAAATTGAGGCACTTGTTGCTAATCTATTACGGTATGTCTTCTTGTTCTTCCTATCGTAAAGTTTTGTAACACATGGGCCACTGTGATTTTGCTAACTCTTTTAACTATAGAAAACATGCCAGAATGTGTAAAGTGTTAATGCAGAAAAAAGGATGGTGTCGTCTGCTGGGAGCCGGGGGATGGGGATCAGTGGTTACTGACGTGGGACAATGGAGAAACTAGGCTTAGCAGTAAAATTCTGTTTTTCGCGCATTTAAAATCACGACGTAGTTAGAGGAGGTTACACAGGCTTTTCAATTTGAGCCGCCATTTTTCCTCCCAGCGCATGTAAATTTTCTTATATATACGTCGGTGGTTTATTTGAACTACAATGAGGTCATCAGTGCACAACGCTAGCGCCGTTTTGAAAGCAGTCCACTTTGGCCTATATTTGACAAATTCTCCAAGGACATTTATCCTTGATATCGACAATTGCAGTCATTGACGGTTAGGGATCACTTTTGATTTCCCAGTGTTGTGAGCTAGTGCGCCTCATTTTATTCCTTGTGAATGGAGGAAGTTTTAGCTGAAAAATGTGGAATTATATTTTCAAAATAAAGCGTATCTCTTTCTCTCGCCTTCTCAAAAAAGTTACACCTGGCGTAAAGAAGCTTCTTCATATGGCAGCAACAGCCTTTACGTGTTAGGACTACGCCAAAAGGAGCCAATGCGCTCTAATGTAGATGTATTTTCCGGACAGAGATGCCAGCTTTGGTCGTTTGGTTACCCTTATCACCCGTCTCCTTGAAGGTATATGCATGTATGCAAGTGTAGCATTCGAGTCTATGGTAGTGTGGAAAAAGGCGGCTTACTATCACGTTCTACCTCAATCTTCTGACTGGCACAAATCGGTAAAAAAAAATCTTCAGCAATCAAAGATTTCGGAAGCTTCTAAATAAAAGGGGGCTTTTTAATGCCGAAAGGAGTGGACGGAACTGGCATTCTACTCCTCGCAGAACAGTTATTTCTTCAGCGCGCCTATTGGGACCATGTAAATGCACCTTACCAAGTGGGAACATTCCAGGTTATTGAGGCTACTTCAAATGCTGTACGCACGCCTCATCTATTAGAAAACTGTATTTGAAGTTTATACTGCAAAGGCAATTCTACCCGACGAAAAAGGGTGCTGCATTTGGACTCATAAGCTGTGACACTTACCAAAGGGTCCTCCTGGGTCAAGACCGCGTCGAAGGCAAACATCTTCGGAGCAGCAAGACTGAAACGCCGTCTGCTGGGAGCCGGATGGATGAGAGTCACCTGCTTACGGCGTGGGTCGATGGAAACGCTGGGCATGACATTGGAGGCGAGAGAACTGGCACCACTGGTTGATGACCCCTTCGTAGACTCGCCCGGACAATTTGGTAAGCGCACACAGAGGATGACTTTTACCTTTAGGAATAAAGGGAGCAGAGGTATGATTAAAAAAACCTTACGTATCGACTTCCTACTAGGAGAACCACGAGTAAAGCAGTGATCGTGACCCTAGTGGCGATGCCTAGGCTAATTAGGGTTTTAACTTTTTAAACTGAAGATAAATGGAAGTTAGGGGAGTGGGTGGAGTGATAAGAGTGAGGGGGGGATAAAATGCCAACTGGCTTAATTTTGTTCATTTTTTAAAGTGTTAAACAGACGGAAGTGTAGCACGTGACATTTGGCAGGAAAAGTCCTCAACAAAAGTGCCCGAAATGTCATGCGGAAATAGTTATAGACAAACAGTCCTTAATAATTCATTTAGATATCCTCCGTATAAACGGCGGCCAAAATTCTAGGCTGCCGGATGCGTGCAACCAGACAACTAATTCCACGAGAAATTGCGTGCAAACCCCCTATTTACTGCCACTAAATATTCTTAGAGACGGACGATGTCTGCTCAGACTTTTTTTTCACAGAAAATTGCGTGACAACTGCATAAAAAAGGGTAAACAGCTCTATTTATGCCTTGTGATTAAACTTAGACAGAAGAAGTTCGATGCCCACGAAGAAGCCTCATTGCCCTTCCTGTTGTTAGCCCTAACCTCCACGTACTGGGACTCGTTCGAAAAAATCCATTGAATCCTTCTTCATCAATATCGGCGTTTCATTGATGAATCCCTTCTTAGCACTAAACCCCTTGGATGTCTTCCTGTTTATGGTAGACACTAGTCTTGTCGAGTTTATGCAAGTCGGGTTTTAGGGGTAGCATTTGGGATTTAAGCTGTGGCACCAGACACAGAGAAAGATATATACACACACTGTTGAAGAACATCAATTAGGCGGACACCGACGAGTGGCCATGGGGATTGGAGACAAAGCTGACAGCTATGGTAGTCAGGACTACACATCCTTGCCGCGTCAGAACGTTCTTACGAGTACTGCCGCACGCGGCATTCTGCATAGATAGTGCGGACAGAGCCTACACTCCATGCGCTTCCTCTCCATGCCCACCACCTTAAAGTCAGGCCCCGTAACGTGTAGGGACAAACGTCAAGTGGCTTGTTTCTCTCTACTCCCCCCGACAGTCAGAGATACGATTAGCCCCCGGTCTTGTCTGTCAAGGTAGTCTAGCTGCGTTACAAAGACGTGATCTCCGGGGGTGCCCAACTAACATCGCGAGCGTCCGGATACTAAAACTCACTAATGGGGCTTCTCCAAAGAAGAGCAGCTTGGTCGCACTAACGTCTTGGCGAAACGCACCTTGTTCTGACGCTTTCAGTCGGGACTGTCATTAGATTAGGATGATCATGTGCGCTCCCTCGTCTGTATGTTCTCTGGAATAGTTTTAGTAATTAGCAGCTGCACGCGACCCGAACAAGTTTCATGTGCCATCCACTGTGTCCCGAGTGTCGAAAAGAAACGCATCGGGCGAGCGCGAGCCGAAAGTATCACTCTCGGGGCATGTAGGTAAAATGAGTTGGGGATCTTTTTTTAAAACTATTCTGCACTTCCCGTCAGCCAATTGTCGGTTCAAGGTTAGATCAATATGCCCTTCGAAATCGGGCCATGTGATTTTAGGGCAACAACAACTTCTGACTGCATATGCGCCGCACACGGATCAGTAGAGAAGTATACGTTCAGCACATACATAGTCTCAGAACGGCAACGAGGCCCCGAGGTCCCCATTAGCATACACACGGGTTCAGAATCTAGCTCGAACCGGCTTGGCAAAGCAGGTACCTACACAGATTATCGTCACTCACGCTTACGCATCTGGTCAATGCGCTTAATCCCCCCCACTCTACGAATCAAGCGCTATTTAAACCGACGTTTTTGAGACACAGAGACCAAGTTGGGGATCATAAAATCTTACGCTGGAAGCGCACTCATTACTTACCTTCGAGTAAATTGGACAGTGAAGTCATTTAAGTCCCCACAAACCTTAACGCTTCGCCGAAGAGACTAAATAATTGACTGCAAGAAGTTACCGTCAGAGGGCAGTTACTCGTTAAACAACTTCTACCGTCCGTCAATTTAATTGCTCATTTGTGTATGCTGTTAGGCAGCGAAGGAGAAGAAACTACGGTACAATTCGGATACAATCATCAGAAAGCTCTGTTTAAAAATTGCAAGTAAGAAAACCAATCAATGTGTTTTGGCGGGTTGTGTGCAGTCGCCGCCAAACCAGTCAAGCCGAGCTTACCTATCCCCACAACCAGCCAAATAAAGGGTTTAGCACGCAACTTTGTGTCGACTTACTCTTACTACGCAATTAATGGCGTCTAATAATTTCGTGTATACAGGGAGTTTGTATTTGCCACACTTCGGCAACACGTTATTGTCAAGACACCTGTGCAGAAACCTGATCTGTGTATAGGCTAAGGCCTCATGAAGGGCAAACGTTTCCTATCATCGGGCCGATCAGAGCGCATCGTGCTCCTCTGCCACTGCTTTCTGCTCATGTATCTGATGAAGAATCCGCGACGGATGTCGAAACGTCAGGCGAATAAAAGTATTGTCGCAGCGATCGAATTTCCTTCTCAATCTCGCGTATGCATCATTACGCTTACCAGTTTGCAAATGTAGATGTCACTGGATCTCAAGGAATTAGATAACTTCTAGGAAAGATTTGAAGCCTTTGCGTATAAAAGTGTGGAACGGCATCAACTGATAGCTTTTAATTCAAAAACAGCTATCCGTTGAGAGACCCTGTATGTGTGGGTTTCTGGGGTGCACCCTGCCATTATTTTATCGTTTGTTTTCACGTTTTTTAAGTCGCAAAACCTCTTGGAGCTTAGAATCAGGCACTATGTCACGAAATTACAGGCCATGGGGAACTTGTGTTTGGGCGGGTGAGCGATTCGTCATAAACACTCTACTGCAGTAAAACTTTTTTTCTCCCGGACTGCAGCCGTTCCACCTGTAGCATTTAGTTGCCCGCGGCAAATGAACTCCAGATTTGCTCAAACATCGTGGACGAAAGTAGGAATATTTTAGAGGATAGAGGTAGAAGTAAACACTGTGAGCTAAAGGCGGAATGACAGATCGGCCAGGAATTAATCGATTCGTGAATCAGGCGCGCAGTTCGCGGGAGGAAGAAGTGTCAAGCTAAGGCCCCATTGGTGGACTCACGGAAAACAAATCGGTAGATTGACACAACGGCCAAATAAATTAATCACATGGCAAATACTTTAGTCGCAGGTCACTTGCTTCGTTGTGGT